GAGTGGTTGCCAGTCCTCTTCTTGAACCGATAAAACCACCCATGCGATGCCCTGAACTCTGGGGAGGTTAGGGGTGCCTCCTGCGAGGACGTCGATGCCGTTGGCTGGTCATCGGAAGCTGCCTTACTTACTTACTTACTAAATCATTATAAATTGAGGACGCCTTCTCGCAAATGACAGTCTCTGTGGGGGTATTGCCAGTCTCTCCCTTGTCTTTAATCCAAACAAGGAGAAGCCTTTCCATCTCGTCGTGTATGGGGGTCCTCCTTTTGGACATGATGGTGGTGCCCTTTGAAGGTTTACCTGCTTTGATGACTTCTTTTTGTTTTAGAATTGTTCCTATGGTCGAAGGATTTCGGCCATACTCGCGTGCAACAGCACCAAGTTACACACCTCGCTCATATTTATCAATAATTTCTCTCTTTGTTCTCATCGACAGCACTTTACGCTTCATTTTGCTAGCTGCGTGGTTCAAGTGGAACAGCGAAGCGCAAGTACGGAAGCCAAGGGGTTGTCACATGATTCGGAAGGCATTGTGGGCATTGTAGGCTCAGCCAATCAGAGCCAGCGGATTTCGTTACGCGGGCATTTTGCCGTAACACGGGCAGAAGTATTGCCGTTCAGTGCCTTCGTAACTTGAACTTTTTGTGAAAGTCGGGGCTCCACTGTATTCTGCATTAGCCAAGTCGCTAGCATTAGCATCCATCAACCTGCAGCCTAAAGCCACAGTGTACACACAATGACCCGCATCCTTTACCGAGATGTGCGAACAACAGCCTGTACTGTGAGGTGCGCCGTGCACATTCATTGTAATGCGTGTTTACTAACCTGAGGCAGTGAAGCTGCTGTCAGCCTGGGTAACAAGTAGACGAAAACACAATAATCTTCTTTAAACCGTGAACACAAACGACACACATGCTGCGCTGGCGTTAGCTTCACAACAGGAAGTTCTTTCTGCGAAATTCTTCTTCTGCGCCCCAAAACACTGCTCGGTACCACCATCGCGCTCTGCGCCCTCTAGTGTCCGGATGTAGAATTGCATGTAAAGCCCGAAAACCAAAAACCAAACGGGTTCCGCAAACGTGTTTTCAAATCACTGTAACGTTTGAACCGTTCGCTCAATTGAAACTAATCAAATTGTTTCTGAAAGCAGAGACTCTGCGCTTTCTCTGCATTTAACTTTAGCGTGAATATGCATGCACAGTTTGTTCACCTGATAGAAAAAGTCACATATAAAATTACCCGATACTTGAAAAAACACCAAAGTTAGCAGGTTTACTCTCGCTGTAGTTTCTCCGTAGCGTTAC